GGGGGGGGGGGGCAGGGTCGGAGGATGATGGTTCGACCACGCCCGGCCACCTTGGCGCCGACGACTGATGCCGGGGAAGGCCGAGCTCTTTCAGGGTGAGCAACATGGCTGTTCTTGGATTGCATGGTGGTGGTACAACTCGGATGTGCACATCTGTCAGCAGCGCCTAGCTTTGTACTCGGACGGCGTACGCATACGTGGTTCGTCAGCATGATCGATAGCATGCGTATCATATGTACCACTCGGAACACTACAGCAGTATGCAACCACAGCAGTGTTTGTCATTGAGCCTGCAAATTGACCTGTCTGTAATCCATCTATCAAACGTAGCACGTCCTCCACCCCACTCCTGCTGGCTACGGCATTGTAGAGCCTCTGCACCTCTTCTCTCTGACACAGGGATGTATGTACAGCAGTGCATTGCAGCGTACTGCACGCTGCTGAAGTTATATCGGGGGATCGACAGAGAGCTACAGCAGAGAGCAGCCGATCTATAGTGGCAACTCGAATACAAATTGTAGTGGAACTGAACTGCCTATTTGTCGTGGCACCAACATCTCCTTGGTCACTCCAACCCGACATGTAGACTGTGCATATAATGTGGCATTTGGCACTACTGCTGTAAGGACGGGGCCCCTCAATAGTGGTATTTTCGAGATCTCATGCCCCCCATTGTGGCAATTCGAAACTCGGAGCCGCACACCACCGCGCACTGCGCACCCACACACACCACAGCCAATAGTCTATGTTGGGATTTCAGTTGTGGCGGCGACAGAGAGGGTAGTCGTGGCATGGAAGGTACATCGTGTTGTAATGAAGACAAGGGAAGAAAAACTGTTACAACAATAATAATAATAATAATAATAATAATAATAATAATAATAATAATAATAATAATAATAATAATAATAATAATAATAATAATAATAATAATAATAATAATAATAATAATAATAATAATAATAATAATAATAATAATAATAATAATAATAATAATAATAATAATAATAATAATAATAATAATAATAATAATAATAATAATAATAATAATAATAATAATAATAATAATAATAATAATAATAATAATAATAATAATAATAATAATAATAATAATAATAATAATAATAATAATAATAATAATAATAATAATAATAATAATAATAATAATAATAATAATAATAATAATAATAATAATAATAATAATAATAATAATAATAATAATAATAAATGGGAACGAAAAAAACAAGGATGGAACGGATGATGGCGAGCATTTTAGCCACAAGACTTGCCGCGCAACTAACGCCGCAGGAATAGAGGGGTGGCCAAGGAACAGTGGTCGTATTGGCGAGAGTGGTGGTAGATGTAAGGAGGATAATAAAGCACTCCGAAACGAACACGTGTGCTAAGTGGCAGCCTTGGTAAATACGTGGTAAACACGTGCAGTGTCCTGCTGTTGCTACAGCAGTACCGTTTCTCTTCCATCCGGAGAGTAGCTCAGCCTCCCCAATGACGCCCCCTCACAGGGTCCCAGATAATAGCCTTGAGAAACACTTGTGTATTCAACGGCACAAGAGACTGACATATTTTCATTGGTAAGCCGGTAAGGTCGGTGCTATCTATTAATCTATTAACACCACATACACACAGAGTTGTGCGCGCCACACGTTATCTATTGATTACACCACACGCCTGGAGAGGACGAAGCGTTGTTCCCACAGGACCGATCACCGATGGCCAATCGTTCCTTCCTACTTTGCCAAAGGTGGCTCAAAAATGTATTCCCTAAGATATCTGCATTGTATCTATCCTATCGATATCACTTCCCGCCTTTGCAACCCACTTCCCGTGTCCTGGTACAGCTACCGTCTTCTCCTGGCTATTCCATGCCATAAACTTCTCTCTACCTTCCGTCTTGTACAACCGACATTCCGCAACTACATGAACACGGTCTTCGCACTCGGAGCGCAATCACATTTGAACTTGCCATCTTCATCGTCTACCTCCCTAGATCTTCTTTTACGTTCTCGAAGGCCAATGTCACCGGTCCTGAATTTGACCTTCAGCTTTGTCCCTGCATCCGTTGGTCCATGTAGGTACTCCTTGGACCCTATTCCTTCTTTCAACATTCCGTACACTTGCACTAGACCCTTGTTATCCTTGGTTTGTTTGGTTACATTGTGTTATTCTCTTTCGAAAAATGCAGCAGATATCTTCTCCTTGAACCCCTCTGGACCCTCCGTTTCCAGCGTACCACCTTCGTCAATTTCGAACCCGTTCCATACATCATCTACCACCTGGACGCCCTGGGGGGCATGTTCGGCGAAGTATTTACTTGGTAACCCCAGTTGTTTGCGCGTACTACGCTGTTGTCGACATTTTTATTAGTGTTCCATGTGGCCCGCTGGAATTCGGGTGACTTTACTGCCGTGTGGCACGCTTATGAATAGTTGTTCTCAGGTTGTACATAAAATACATCGCTATCGCTTGGACGAGAAATTATTATCTCTCACGTGGTGGCCCGGGATCGATGAGGCCTTGTCAAGTGGACATACAACAAACTGCTGACTATGCTGACTAGTTGTGTTCGATTTTGAAAAAAATGCCGAGCCACAAGTCAGCATTTTAATTGTAGGCTGGTGTAGTAGTAGTAGTAGTTGTTGTTGTTGTTTCTCACATTCGCTCGATAGTCCACAAAAAATGGGGAGCCCGTGGTCTCAAAACCCGGCACATACGAAGCCGCCGCGAAGAAACAAAACAAAATAGGGTACAAACCACTCGGAAAAAGAAAACAAAATGATAGAAAATAACAGGTACCGCACCGACCGTTCGAGAAGAGAGCCCTCGGAAACCGATCAAAAACACAACAACAAAATTAAAGGAGGACGCTTCCCACACCCGCCCAAAGAAAAAATCAAAGGGTAACGTACCAGCACCAGGCACTACGCACCAGGGCATGGGAGTAACGGAGCAAACAGGACAAAGAGGCGGCAGATGGGCAGACAGCCAGACGTACAAAAACGAAAGTAACAGCAAAAGCTAGATCAAGGTACCCAACGCAGCAGAGTAGGCAGGGAGGTCATGAAAACAGACCAACAGCACAGAGGCCGAAGGCAATACAGAGGACATTCTTGAAGGAGTATGGCATACAGCAGGGAGGGAAACAGGGCGCAACAACATCAGCCGGGTAGATAGTTGGCCACAAGTGCTGCCTCGGCCGCCCTACTCGCTTCTACAGCAGTGCCCGGTCGCCCTTTCTTCCCCCCCACCGCAGCTTCCCCGACTCTCGTTCTCTTCGGTCCTGAGATGGCCGTACTCTCTGCTTCTGCTTCCCTCGCGCGCTGGCGCTTCGCGAACGCTTCCGCCTCCTGCCTGTGCCATTTCCTCATGAACCATGCCGCCCCGTCCTGGACCTTGTTGTTTGTACCACACCTCCGGGTCCTTGGCGCTCTCTTTCCATTTCCCCCCTTCCATTTCGTCTTCCATGCTNCGCTTCCCCGGCTCTCTTTCTCTTCGGTCCTGAGGCCGTACTCTCTGCTTCTGCTTCCCTCGCGCGCTGGCGCTTCGCGAACGCTTCCGCCTCCTGCCTGTGCCATTTCCTCATGAACCATGCCGCCCCGTCCTGGACCTTGTTGT